TATCTATCTATCTATCTATCTATCTATCTATCTATCTATCTATCTATCTATCTATCTATCGTAGTTTGAAAAAAAATGGCCCCCATAGGCTCACAGGGAGTTGTGCTATTAGGAGGTGTGGCATTGTTGGAGGAGTTGTGTTACTGGTGGACAGGCTTTGAGGTCTCAGAAGCTCAAGCCAGGCACTGTCTTTCCCTGCTGCCTTTGAATCAAGTTGTAGAACTCTCAGCACCATTTCTGTCTGCATGCCATCATGTTTCTCACCATAATGATAATGGACTAACCCTCTGAACAGTAAGCCAGCTACAATTAAATGAATTTCTTCATAAAAGTTGCCATGGTTATGGTGTCTCTTCATGGCAATAAAACCCAAACTAAGACGCTGTCTATCTGTCTGTCTATCTATCCATTCATTTTTATCTTCCTGCCTGTTTAATCACAAAAAGATGAAAAGGATCCTTATTTAAATGAATATCCTTTTCCTTAGTAGGTAAATATTAAAATGAAATGGAAGTGTGAAATTGCATAGTTTAACCTGTAAGAATTTCACTGACAACTTAGTGATGTAATCTGTGCCTGCCTGCTGATGCATTGCGTTTTCCTTCATCATTTAGTTTAGTTATCTTTCTACAACTTACAGCGTGACTGTAACATTTACTAGGAATGCATTTATGGATATTTAATGAATAAGCTGGAATGCAGTAAAGGAAACAATTTCATTTCATGTTAGTGTAAAAGGGCTAATTCGCACATCTGTCTTCATGGTTTAGGGAGTTGCGTGCATCTTGGATGTCTCTGTGCAGGAAGTATCCTTTGTAGAGGGACAGACTCCGAGGTCCACCCTTCTCTTACCAGCGTGGATCTCTGGAGGGCTAAGTTTCATGGAGGTAGTCATCGTAAGTTTGAGTCTTTCCATCTAGGGCTGAACTGAGTGAATCCATGCACAAACGCATCTTTATTCTTATTCTTGGTTCTTTGGATCCCAAATTGATAGAATTTTATATTTCATTTAGAAGGATTCAGAAGTCCTGAAGCTCAAGTTCTCCAGGCAAAGGACCCCTTCCCCTACCTCAGCCTGGACAGTGCACTTGCTCAGTGTGTTAAGATGCCATTTGATCACACTATGAAGCTGGGGTCCTTGGCAGGGGGTAGGGGGTAGCTCAAGAGCATCAGTCTCCAGTTAGAAGCCACTTATCATGTGGCTTTGAGAGATTCCCCCCGCTCTCCACATTTAATAGAAAGGTGTTAGAGTAACTCAGAGGTGACTTCACAATGGATGTGGAGGCAGTCAGACAGTATCTGGGGTAAGTTACATTATCCTAGGTGCAGTAATTTTTAACTATTTTAGCAGGGTATTTAGTTTTTCCAAGACTGACCTCTCATATAGGAAATAGAAAAAAATAAAACCCATATAACCTCATGGTATGCTTTTGAGAATTAACAGACCATGTATGTAAATCGAGTAGGCTAAAAATGGTAGCTATTATAAATGTTGATTCATTTAAATTGTCTTCCAGGACAATTTAATAAAAGAAATTAATTATTTATCAAATAGCTGCTATGTGCCCGATACCCTATCCTTTTATGATTATTTGCCTGAGGTGCTAACACAGTCACCAGGCCATGGTCCAGGGCAGTAGTTAAAGGAATTCTTTCTGTTTTGGACTGGCCTGTTTAATTTCTGAAACAACCCAATCTTCATCCAGTTCCTACTTTTGAAAATTAGGGGTAATAATATTATGTAACTCCTTCACAATGAAATAGCTGTTAGATAGGATGGTATAATTATGACATTTAGCACAGGTCTGACACTGAGATTATTCTTATTTATGTTAGTCTGGTTCATTATTGTTGTTATTGTTATTATTATTTTTTGTTTATTCCCACTGCATTCTCTTCTCTGCTCAGGGCTTAGATAGGATCTAAAGGTTTTCCTAGAGACAGAGGGATGGCTCATTTGCTAAGAGCCCTTGTTGGACCTGGGCTCAGTTCTCAGTACAGATGTGGTGGCTCACAATCATTTGTAACTCCAGTTCTGGGGCACCTGTCATCCTCTGATCTTCTCTTTGGCACCAAGCACACACCTGGTGCACATAGGTATGCAGGCAAGACCCCCCCCGCCACCAGTTAAATAAATTGCCTCTGGATTTTATGAAAGCCCTCCTCGCTTGTTTGAACAAGCGGTAAAACCAAGATCTTTGATTAAAACTGGGTTTTACTTAGAGGTTTCTTGGAAGATACTTTCTAGTTGCAGGTACCTGTTATTTCTATCAGCTAATTCATGTTGACTAAAGAGAACACTAACTTTTCTTTATGTGTTTTCATTTAGTATCCCAACCCCATGGATAATAATGTCATCGCTGTAAAAACTGTGGAAGAAAAGAAAGGTAAGTTCTCTGAATATGGCCTACTTTAGTTATACTCACTTTGTAAAGGATGCATGTGTGTCCGTGTGTGTGCATGTGTGTATGTGTGTGTCTATTACATCTCAGGCAGGACCCTTGTCACTTTTTAAGTTATATTTGATGGTGAGACTGAGGCCGGGCATAATGGTTCAGGTAGCATGTTGAAGTACTTAATATGTGCCAACATTTTTCATTTGCTTATTCAACATTTAGAATAATGTTTGAGGTAGGAATTATGATTTTTCCTGTTTAACGCAGGATGAAACTAAAGCACAGAGAGACTAACCTACCTAAGCTCATTTGGCTGTATCTCTATCACATGTCAATTTGTAGATGGCAAAATAATTGTGGATAGTGCACAGATGAACTAGGCATGGTGAGGTTCGTGTCTGTAACCCCAGCCATTGAATGGTGGAGGCGGGAGAACTAGGAATTCAAGGTTAGCCTGGGCTATTAAAAAAACAGCAGACAGATGTGATGTTGCCATAAATTGCTTAGATTGTGGAACCATAACTGTAGTTTGGCAAATTATGGCTCACGCTGTGTTGTTTTTGTAAGCAAGGTTTTGCTGCACATTAGACACTCCCTCTGTATGCTATCAATGGCTGCTTCATCTGAGTTACAGTAAGAACTGAATATTTGCGAAAGAGACCATATGGCCCACAGATCTAAATTATATACCTCATGACCCCTTCAGAAAATGTCTACTGTGTTCCACCTCGGGGGTTGGGGTGGGGTGCTGGGGTCTCTGGTGCTCTTTGCATTCCCTCCTTCTGGGGAAGCACTGTGACTATTAGTATTGGGACTTGAGGAGTGGGCAGTGCCAGGAGCTCTGAGCATGGGCACGCTTGATGCCCAAGCCTGTGGAGACAACCAGAGCCTGGCCCAGCATGCTCAGAATTCAGCCTTCGAAACCATAGGTGCTACAGCTGGGTGATGTGGCTGTAGCTTCCTCTGCTGCGTAAACATGAAACTGTCTTATTTATGGGCCTGCTTTCTGCATATCTGTAGCTATAGAAATAGATTTCAAAAGCATTTTCTCGTGCACCTGTATGTAATGTGGGACAAACTTGCTTTCTGGTTTGAGACAAACCTAATTTCGAATCCTGATTCTGTTACTTCCCTCATGACCAAACTTTTCAAAGGCTTAAGGTCTTTATCTGTCAAATGGTAAAATGATCTTGTTAATTTCAGGATGTCATATTTGTCTCTATTTTATTTTTTACTATTTAACCCCGGTTGATCTGAAACATCCTGTACTCACCAGGCTGGCCTAGAACTCACAGAGAACCACCTGCCTCTGCCTTCCAGGGCTGGTGTTAAAGGCCTGTGCCTACATGCCCAGAAGCAACTCCATTTTTACTATACGTGCTATTCACATTGTCTGAGGTTACCAAAGGACTGCTGGGGATGGAGCATTTGTTTCCTGACTGCAGGTTCCTGGTGGTCATGGTGTTTGCAGCAGGGGTTAGGACAGCTGTAGTTAGAGTGCTGAGAAACCTTGCCTTGTGTCTGAGTCTCAGCAATTCACAGAGAAATGACAGCACTTCACAGTTTGCCTTTTTTTCTTCTGTTTCCTCTCATCATAACTTACACTTATTCTCAGTAGCTTTAACTTTCCCTCTAGGACTGTTCTGGTCTCAGGGGTTTTATTCCTCAGTGAGTGTGGCTCATGTAGTTAATTAGTTACTGGTTTAAATGAAATGGTCAGAAATCTAGGTGTGACGGTGTGGTCCAGGCGCTGGCAGAATCTATTACCACCCTCCTTGTTGTTGAGCTGGTGGCCACTGGCCACTGCCACTGGATGCTTGACACTGATCCTCTAACGTGGTGGCCGGTTTGTGATTCACTGTCTCGACTTTAGCCCATGTGTTCAGACTTGTTTCACATATATCCCTCGAGCATTTGTGATTTGGCTCAGAAAACTGATCTGAAAAACAGAATGTTTTTAAAAAAAGATTTATTTTATTTTTACATGGTGTTTATGTGTATGCCTGTGGCGTACGTGTGCTCGGGTGTAGGTGTCTGAGGAACCCAGATTTGCTGGATCTCTTGGAAGTGGAGTTCTAGGTAGTTGTGAGCTGCTTGATGTGGGTGCTGGGAGCCAAGCTTGTTTACTCGTTACAAGAGCGGTAAACACGCTCAGTCACCGAGTCATCTCTCCAGCCCCCGGAAAACTTCATTTCGTGTCAAGCCTTATCTATGAGAATTCTATATGTTGAAAATTGAAGTTGAACTAAAAAGCTCCATGGACTCTTAGATAAGAATACGTTTCTCCCTAATTATGTTTTGGCTCTGAAATTTTCTTCTTCCAGATGAATCAACAGGACTCATCTATAGAAAGAGGATTGCTATCTGTCAGAATGTGGTGCCAGAAATTTTAAGAAAGGTAAATTCATTTCCGAGTTTAATTACAGTGGGTATAAAACTGAGGAATTTTCATAGTCATAGAAAAAGACAGCATTTTCTGATCGAAGGGAGTGTCAGAATGTCCCACTGTCCACTCTCATAGTTTTGTAAGGGAAATACTTCTTCCATGTCCACCCCAGTTTTGGCAGATGCCTCTGGAGTGTCTCATCTCTGTCCTTTCTGTGAAGGCCCTTTGTGGATATGGGGTGATTTGATGATTATTTTGGGGGTACTTTCAGCATTTTGAATGAAGCGTTATCGTTTCTAGTCTGATCACGACTAGCAACAGGTAAGAATAATCAGAAGTGAGAAGATTGTAAGTGTTAGTCCCATGTTTGGTGAGGGAGTCCATTCTTCTCCTTGTAATGCACTGAGAGCATCGTATTCTTCGTGCCCCATGCAAGGCTTTCCGTGCATAGTTCTGCTAATTAAGGCTACTGATGCCAGAATGTTCATGACGGAAAATTGTTCTCTCTCTTTGAAACCCTTAAGCTCTCTGATGATTCTGTATTGGATGGAGGTAAGTTGAAAACGTCATTTGCATGGCTTGAACCATACATGGATTTTTCTTCTTGAGAGAGGGCCTTACTCCGTAGTCTAGGAGGGCCTGGAACTATATATCCTAGTATAGCCCAGGATGGTGTCAAACTGAAGATAATCCTTCTGCCTCAGCCATCTAAGTATGGAGGTAACAGGTGTGTACCACCATGCTTAGCTGTAGAAGTATAAAAGAAAAGTTTTTATTTATTCTGAATTTTGTATGTAGATGTGTGAGTATATGTATGTGTGTACATATATATATATACATATATATGTGTATATATTTATATGTCTTGATCTTATCTACTCCCTTCCCCCTCCAATTTCCTTCAGAATCTCCCTCCCAGCTTCATGTTCCCCTATATTTGTTCTAATATTACTATTTTTAAATCTCGTTGAGTCCAGTTAGTGTTGCCCATATCTGCTTGGGTTAGTAGTTATCTCCTGGGGCATGGGTACCCCTCCAAAGAAAGTGGCTCTCCCTCCTTTAGCAGCCATCAACGACAGTAACTCCACAGCTAAGCCCTCCCCTGTCTGTGCTCTCTATGCTTGAAGTTTTAACTTGCTTGATCCCATGCAGGTCTTAGGCAGGTAAGCAGAGCTGGTACGAGTTCATATGCACAACGGCCATGGTGTGTCCATCAGATGCCCTTCTACAGCGCTCCTCCCCTGCTTTCTTTCTTTCCTCTCTTCCACCATGTTCCCTGAATCGTGAGGCGTTTAGTATAGATGGCCAATCTGTGGCCCATTTTTTCTCAGTACTTTAAACAGCTGGGAAGCTCTTCATTCACGATGTAGGATTTTTGATGGTGGTCTTTTAGTACGTAAGAGAAGAGCATCTTAACAGGCACGTAGAAAATGCCTCAGAAGAGATTCCCTGTGTGATCCAGAATGAATCTGGGCACCCACGGATGAGCGTGCAAATTAAATTGCTGTGCTTATACTAGGAAAAAATGGCAGCTTCCATTCATTCCTCATTGTGGGTTACATCACTGTTATTTCCTTAGTGGAAAGAGGCTGGAACCACAAAGAAAATGAACTCCTTTTGACTTGCAGATGGGAAGCTGGGTTACACTTCAGCAGCAAATTATCACTGGCTCTTCCAGAGTTCATAGCTGCCTTTGCCCTATATACGCACTTTGAATCTATTATTTAAAAAGGCATTCAAGTTCTTCTTGTATCTCAATTCTTAAATAATTTAAGGCTCTAACTTGTACAGTTCTGCCTTTGTAGCTTTCGTTGTCTTCTTCACCTGGGAAAGCATTCGTTTCTAGGGACTGAACAGAGGTTACAACGAGGGAAATATTTCTCTTGAGACGGCCCTGCATGGGTGCATGTAGGTGGGGCCTGATGAGAACCCATAACCGCAAGAAGGCCTGCCCCGGAGAAGACAAGAAGCACCTGATAATTTTTTTTGGGGCATACATCAGTCCTAGGCCATTTGCAAGTCCTGGGCAGCATGTAGTGAGGCCACAGTGTGCTTGATTATCAGAGACTGAGGGGTGTGGCTGAATTGCCACCCAACCATCAGGACGGCTTGTTCCGTTTGTTAGCCGCGACTGAGATCATCTACAGGCGGAGTCTTCATATAGCTTGCTCTTCCAAAATTGAGATTGCTGTCCTCTTTCTGTTGGGCAGGTGAGTATTCTAAAAGTACCTGATATCCGACTAGAAGAGGAATCATGGCTCAGTCTTCAGAAGAGGAACATGGCTATCCAGAGTCACTGCCTCACATGGACACAGTATGCATCCATGAGGGAAGAGTCTGTCTTCCGGGAAAGTGTGGAAAACCCGAATTGGTAAGATCGTCTGTGATCACCTGTGTGTGTGTGTGTATGTTGAGTGTGGGGATCCATACACAGCACATGATTTCATACTTACAGTTTCTGTCTATTACACACATATTTCATGTTATTTTTAGTCATGTCAGTAATAGATGAATCTATTTTCTTTTGGAGGAAATATGACAGAACTCAACTCTTGTCCAAGTGCCGCTTCAAATTCTGGTATTTTCTTACTCTCTCCAAAAGCAATGACTGTCACCCATTTGTTGAATATTCCTTTGGACCTTTAAAGGTAACCTAGGTATTCAACAGAGTTTAAACAAGGCAAATACTTTGCTTGACATTATCATGCACTTGACCCATCAGTGGGCCTGCCTAGCACGGGTCAGCTCAAGCAGACTTAAGGAGGTGTTTCTGCATAGACTTACCTTGCCTGCTTAGTTTGTATATCTTTTTAACACACATGATGTCTATGTCATCTACGTTTTTGTACACTTATCTTTTTATGTTTACTAGACTGCTTCTGAGCTTTACCTATCTGATACACGTCCAGCTAGATTGTCCCTCCGCATGCCATTCCACTGTATTTTGTCGCTGCCACTGTGGTAGACGCTCTGATGGTATCGAGTTTCTCTTTGTCGTAAAGGAGGGTATCATATTCAGGAGTTGTATGTCTTCTGAATATGACTCCTACAAGATATGTGAGTGTTTCTCTTAGTGAGAATTTTAAGCGTTGTATTTGTTGCAAGGGTATCTATAAACCATCAAATCTGCCTTCCCTAGCATCCAGTTCTCTGAGTCGTGACAGAACTGTACATAGCACAAATATGACAAATTATGACAAATATGTTCAGTTGTGTCCCTGCTGCCACAGTTACTGCTTAACCCTGCAGGTAGACTAAATCCTCCTGAAATAGTAGGTGAATTTTATGGTGTGTAGAGGGTCATAGATAAGCACTGGAGAAACCAGGAATGTTAATCAGGCAGGGTTGTCTCCTCAATGAAGTTAATGAATATCTATATTCATTATTGTCCATCTATACTGGGAGTGAGTAGATCTTGTTAATAACCTGCTGACTTTTGGTAGCCTACCTATAAGGTTAGACCTCACCCAAATCCCCCAGAATGCTTATCCCAGGCTTTCCCTTTTTAGCTTTGCTTCTAAGTCAATAGAACCCGTCCTTGGGGGCGCTGTCACATGTAGGGGAGCTGCTAACCCCCATGCTATCTTGGTCAGACCATACCAGATCCTAGGCCCTTAAGCAATGGAATCCATCTTCATGGTAGAGGTCACGCATATTTTGCAAAAGAGTTTTTATGTCGTCACGTCTTAAGATTTATTGTCCACATGGAATTGGGATGATTGTTACCAGGAAACTTTTTTTGTCAAAACTGTACTAGACTTAAACTTGTCAACAATAACCTGGCCGGGTGTCAGGTTCCAGAAGTTTGAATCAGTGTTGGCTCATGAAGTTGAGATGAACCATGTTTCCTTCTTCATCTCACACTGGTGGTTCCCTGTGTCCATGAGGTTCACAGGGATCCCCACAGGGTGCATGCCTTGTAGGCTGGTTTTAAGGCACTGTGGTGGAGGGGGGGGGTTTCAGGACAGGTATAGTTTGAGTTCCGGGAAATCTTAGTTTGAGATGCTGTCATTAGATATCACAGTCTTGGTGGCTCCAGCAACACCTGTGAATTTCTCGTGGCCCTGGGGGATCATGGGGAAGTCCATTCTCTGGGCCCTGGCAGACTGGGGTAGGTGAGGCTTTGCAGACACCTGTCTTCTGTTAAATCTGATAGTGGAGAACATGTAATCTGCTCTCCTCCTCCATGGAACAGATTCCATGGCAGAGTTCTACATTCAGGGACTCATGTAAATTCGACTTACTTCCCAAAGGCCCAGTGTCTTACCTAACTCCTTCACATGGTGGGTTAAGGTTCCAGCACCTAGGCTGGAGGCATCTGGATGGTATACAGCTTGTCTCCCATACATGATGCCTTCTTTCCCTGGCACTAAAAATACAATGTAATGTAATTCAGTAAAATAAAAATGACAACATATAAATTCTGGGGTACATAGACTCATGGTCTATAACACAGATTCTGGCATGTTGTCTTCCAGCGTGTCAACACAAAAGTTTGTACTCCATAACAGCACTCAGCAGAATTCATTTCCCTATAACATGTGGACTGTAGTTAATTAACACACATTTTAATTTTTATTTTTTTAATTTTTATTTTAATTTTAAGTATGATGGGAAGAGAAACAATTTCTTGAAGGCAGATTTAAAAAATTCATATATTTTTATGCATATGGCATTTTTCCTACATGTATTAATATGTACCATATGTGGGTCTTGTGCCTGCAGAGGCCAGAGGAAGGCATTGGAACCCCTGGAAGTGGAGATATAGATGTGTATGAGCTGCTATGTAGGTGTTAGGAACCAAACCCAGTCCTCTGCAAGAGCAGCCAGTGCTTCTTAACTGCTGAACCCTCTCTCCAGTTTCCTGGTTTTGTTTTTGAGACAAGTATCTCACTATTACTCCTGCCCTCCAGTCATCCTCCTGCTTCAGCTTCTTTGGTGTCTGTCATCTTTTTTTGGCACCCAAAGATAGACTTTGGAACAAAAGTAAAACATCGTAATTACTAAATATTAATTCTAACCATTATGGTGAAATATTTGATTTCAGAAGATAATTTACTGTGTTTTATTATTACTGTTCAGTGTGGCTTGAAAATTTTTATTATAGATTTAGTTTTAAAATGAAAGTAATAAAACCTTCAAATAACTAATTGTCTCCATGTAAAAGCCATTCTTAGGGCCCAGCCTTTCTCCAGATCATTCTTTCTTGCACAGTTCTGGTCACACATCAATGGAGCTAGAATGTTTCAACAGCCTCCTGGATGAGTAAGGAAGCATGTCTCAGTCACATCAGAGAGAGATTGGTGGATCCATAGTTTTTTATTATGCTGATGCCCAGAGCTGAGATAGGATGTGGGTGGCTGGGATTAAAGCTGAGACCAGGGAACAGAGTTCTGTTGTTGGCATTCGAATATAGTAAAAGAATGGCATTGTCTGATTGTATGTGTTGGACCCTGAAGTCCAATCACCGAGGAAGAGTAGCCCCAAGAGGCCACTCTTACACTGCAGTTGATGTAAAAACATGAGGATTTAATTCTGTCGTGACAGGGTCTTTCAGCATTCGAGAAGCCAAAAGACCCCGAATGACTATTACAAGCTATTTTTAAAGTAAAAAGCCATAGAAACAAGGGGGAGAAACTCAAGGGTTGTTTTTTACTATTAGGATTGGCTCATTCAAAGGGAATTAGTCTGAGCCAGGGCTGGAGGGCGGTTGCCAGATCAGGTGAGGTAAGAGGAAACATTTGAGGGTGACTTTGACCCCTTCCCAGGGACTGAGTCAAAACATCTGTGGACATCTGTGGGTATCTTGTCCCAGTTCTAGGAGCGGAGCTCTATTTGGAGAATACTCGCAAGGACTCAGGGAGTTGGAGAGTCTCCAACTTTCCAGTACGTGCATGTGTAGTTGTTAGGTTCCCACGGGGAGGGACACTAAGGCTGAGAGACCTCAGAAATGGCCTCAGTTGTCAGAAATGGCTTCAAAGTTATCCTAGAGTTCTACATATACAAAGTAAGTCTTTCATTTCATCCTCTATTTTAGCACTGTGTTTTGTTAATTTAGTATTGTGTTTGGGCTATTGAATAGTCTTAGAAGCTGTCTCTGCCAGTTAAATTATGATTTGCCAAGATAATCCACAAAACTTTTCACTTTGTATTTTTTTTTTAATTTATGTGAAAATAATAATTCTGATTATGGGGGAAAGGTACATGACGATCACTCTGGAAACTAACAGTCAATTCTAGGAAACAAATCATATTAGCTAAAGCTCATGCTTATTTACATACTTTTTACATATTATTTGCTTACTACTATTCTTGGTCTATTCTTGACTCTTAGAATGGACTCTGACCTTTTGGTTATTATGATACTGTGATGAAAATCCCTGCAACGGCATATTTTATCATGTATTTAATTACTTTTTTTAAGACAGGGTCTCATGTTACCAAGGCTGGTCTTGAGTTCATTATGTAGCAAAAGATGACCTTGAACTTCTACCCTGTCTCTATCTTCCAGGTACTAGGATTACAGGCCTATGCTTCTACACCTGGTGTATAGGGTGCTGGGGATGGAACCCAGGACTTGGTGTATGTTAGGTCAACCCTCTACCAACTGAGCTACACCCCCAAACTGTTATCTATGATCTAAGAAGTCTTTATGACTCAATTCTAATTTATAGTATGGATGTTTGTACATATGAAAAGAGAAAATGAATAAATATGAATGTGTTATTGAGGACTTGTGCAAGCCAGGCAGATGCTCTACCACTGAGCTGTGGCCTCATTTTGCATATTTCAAAATATAGAAACAGAAATTATGTTTAGAACTACTTACCACTATCCTGCAAGACTGCTCCATATTTACATTTTGTGTTATTTCTGTACACCGTCCCCAGAAGTGCTTGCTTCCCCTTTAAGCGTAATGGGGCTAGGTACTTGCTATTTTACTTCCAAAGCCAGATTTAAGTCCAGGAAAGCAGAGTATTCAGGGATTTCTGTATTTGGCGTGGACAATCCCCCATATTGTTGTTGTCTTCTCTGTTGTACAGGGACTGGTGTTTGGAGGTCCAGGATGCTATCGGGGAGTGTTTGGGTGAATGTCAGAGTCTCTGGGCTCGGACTCCAGGCTGATGTTCCTCTTGCCCTTAGGACCCTTCACAAGAAGCCAGAAAATAGGAAGGTGAATGAAATAACGACAGAACAAAATTCACTTATCTCTTGTGGGAAAATGGACAGTGGCAGTGCCCTGTTTAAAATTTATTAGTAGAAGAAAAGATTGATAATTTCTGCCTTCTGAAATCCTTCATTCTGAGATAGGCTTATCAATTTCTTAGTATTTGTGTTTGAACTGATTCTCCTTTAAATTTAGTAATATTA